GCAAGTTTGACAGGCTTTGAAATTGATAAAACTTAATTCCATGATCAACCAGTGCATAAATGTTTGAAATAAAAGGAGTTTTTAATGCACTAAAATTAGGAAAAATTGTTTGTACGTTTTCCCCATCCATTCACACAGAGCTTATTCTCTGATTTAGTGTCTTACAAAATAAAGAAATGCTGGTTTTTTTTAAAGTTGTTTTGCTCTCATTAACTTTTTTACAGAGTTCAGGCAAGTGTTGCGAGCACACTGATCTTCTGGAATAAACTTCCCATTAAACTGAACCCTATAATAAGGCCCATCATGGACTCTGTCAAAAAAGAAGAGCAAACCATCATGCAGGTATGTGTGCCAAGATCATTAAAAATCTGTGCAGTTTTGCTTGCAGTGATCCTTCAGTCACTCCAGCAGTAAATATCAGTTTAACAGTAGCTTCTGATGAACCTCCTTTGTCACCAATCCCTGAAGGACAGTCAGAATCAAATTGTAACTCAGTCTCTTTTGGAGGAAAAAATGCATCTATGGAACGAGGGTACAGTTTACAGTGCGATCAGTACAATGGGATTCTGTCTCTTGTTCAGCAGCTGAAGGTACTTTGGGTTACAAATAGTATAATCACTGCACTTAAGTCTCCACATTTATTTGCTTATTTTGTTGGTCACTCTTGGAAGAGCTTACTACATGTTTGAGTTTGAAGAGTAGTGTTGCATGTAGTCTTAGAATTATGAAATGATAATGTACATGTACTGCTTAGCCTGTGTTTGTGCATTGCTTTCCTGGTTTCTTGAATTGGGCTTTTTATTCCAGTACCACAGTTCTCAGAGTGGATTGAGTTTCTTCTCATTAAGAGGAATTTTTTGCTTGTATGACAATTTGTGTCCATCTTGATCACTCCTGTTGAAAGGTTCCACATGGATCCTTAGAACTGACTGGCTTTTTTGAAATGTTTCTTTTTTTTTAATTTTGAACAGAATGCAAATGCATCAGCTTCTAAAAAAGCAAGTAGCAGTGCAGGTCATAGCAAGCTTCAACCACCTGCTGTGGATGGGGTATCTGTGGCCTCTCTTGATGATAACAGCATGGATGATTCTGAGGTGAGGCCTTCCTTAAATACAATCAATATCTGAGAAAATTAAAACAGATTGCAGCTTGTGAAATCAGGATATGTGTTATGAGATGTCTTGTGTTCACAGCCACTTGTGTGAAATTACCATTTAAATAAAGATAATTCTGAAAATCTCCATCTTTTTGGTATAGATGGCTAAAGTTTTAAGTATTCAAAGAAGAGGTGCAGAATTTTCTCTGCTCAAATTAGCACATCATTTTGGAAGCTTGCTACCATCAAAGTTACCCAAACTGTGGGAGGCAGTTGTGGGGCCTTTACAGCAGATAACAAATGGAAATTCATTTGGTGAGTACTGCACATGGGCTCATTGAACTTGAGTCAGGGGATTTCATACTTAAGGATATTTAAAAGCAATTAAATGATTTCGCTTGATTTGAGTGTTAGCAGAATACTTTTGAAATTTGTTATTAGTGTTAATTTAGTTTGGAGTAGTGGTGTATCTTGTAGAGATTATTCCATGGAAAGTGCGCACAAACACATTTATTCCCAAGTTGTGATGCATCAATTTCATACATACTGAGATATTTTTCATACGGACCATTCAAGATTGGAGGCAAGCAACTGTGATAAACAATAGTAAGGAGGAAATTCCTCGAGCCACTCATGGAAGTCTAGCTTACATGTTTGACTTTTGAAATGATACAACTAATGTGTCACAAGAGAGACTGAATAGTACAATTCCAAAGCATTAAAGATTAGGACATATTTACCTCAATTCTTAAATATCTCTTTTCATGTTCTTATTTTCTTTTTGTCCTAGATCCTGACAAACTTATTGGTCTGGATAATGAAGCCCAAAATCTGATAAACTGCTTACAAATTCTTGAAGTATTGACACCTACAATGCATGTGGAACTGTTATCTAAGGTAGCAGGTAATTTAGTGTTAACAACTGGGTTGAAAACGTAAATTAGCCACCGTAAAGAGTAAAAAAGCTGACGTTTCGAGCGTTAGCCCTTCGTCAGAGCGATTGACGTCATCTATCGCTCTGACGAAGGGCTAACGCTCGAAACGTCAGCTTTTTACTCTTTACGGTGGCTAATTTACGTTTTCAACTCAGTTGTTAACACTAAATTACCTGCTATACTCTCCCACCGACGCAGCACCACAGTTTCTTTAGAAACTTACCCCTTCATTCATTTGTTATCTAAGGTAACATTGAACACTACCAGCAACTTTCCTCATTTTGGGTTTTCTCAGTGAGTTTGCGTATAGTGCCATTTGGAAAGGAGGTCTTCACAAGATGTTATGCTCTTTCCTTCTAGTGGTTACAATGGCTTTGATATTCTTATCAACATGAACTAAACTAGTCCTAATCTTTATTTTTTCCTTTTAGATTTTAGATTTGCTCCCCAATATAGTAATGTGCCTTCAGCACCCTTACAGAGCAGTGCGACACTTGGCAGCCAGGTGCCTGGGTGTGCTGTGCATCGTGTCCACTGAAGATACCATGAAGCTGACAACAATTGTTATGCTGGAGAAAGTTATCGTAGTGCACCAAAACTAGTGCAGAAATGACGTTTCCGTCTAAATTTAGCGTTTATTAGCTGTGTACAGATGTGGTATGAATGATTCAATTAAAGAAAAATTTCAGGTCAGAGGACTTTTGGTCGTGCCACAATAAGATTGACCTGTTTCCCCCCCCCCCACACCCCCTTAGCTTTGTAGTATTCTTATTACTCCCCCCCCTTCACTGGCATTTAATTTTCCATAGTCCCCTATAGACTGATCCTCCCTCAATTCCCCTAGAAAACCGAGTGATCCCTCCTAAAATCCTCCCCCTTCCCCTCGCCCCCGACGATAAATGGTGACTGGTCCATTTCTGCTCGCCATTTTAGAGTGAAGCTTATTTTCGCTGTGTTTTCACTATACACACATATGTTGGTATCCTTAACTGGTTGCTTTACATCAGGTGTAATTGATCGGCTCGGAATGGGTGCGGTGCCTTACGTTGTTCTCCTGGTTGTGCCTGTGCTCGGACGGATGAGTGACCAGTGCGAAGATGTTCGACTCATGGCCACATACTGTTTTGCCACACTTATTAGGCTTATGCCTCTTGAGGTATTTAGGTTAACTTGTAGTTTTAGTAGTTTTAAGTCTTTCACTTTTACAATGACTGAGCGCATTACCATGCTACATTTTACGCAGCTTGCTATTGTCTGCCTTGTCTGCCTTGTCTTTTATTTTGTCGGAATATACCCTGTCCATCTAAGCGAGAGGTTTGACAGAAATGTCATTGTTTAATGCCATGGTTTGATGGTCCGTGTACATCATCTTTGTTGTAATGTTCTTGGTTGGATGACACCTCTAATGGGAACGGAGGTAAAAGAACAAAGAGGACATATATCTCACAGCTTGAGATTTGTATGTGATTCATACTGAAGTGTTCGTAATTTTATTTCGACGGAGCTAGGACAGAAAGACATGCAGTCCTAAACTGGAACCCTTTGACTATTTTATTAGTTCCTTAAGTCTATATTCAATTTCCCTAATTTTCAACTGTCGTTTTTTTAGTCTGGTATTCCTGACCCGCCCAGCATGTTCAAAGCTATGGTGGAGCAAAAACAGAAGGAACGAAAATTTCTGGAGCAACTTTTGGACGGTAAAAAGGTGGAGAATTACACTATTCCTGTTCCTATCAAAGCTGAGCTGAGAAAATATCAACAGGTAGGGTGCTACAGGAAAACCGCGGAAAGAAAGCCTTTATTCATGCTGGAGTTATGAACTAGTGATCTGTATTTGAAATGATGTATTGAACGGTTTGCGACGAGGGTAGCTTGTCTCCCATCGAAGGTAGCACACAGTCTGCCGAAGCTCACTATCATTTACAGATTTG